ATTTCGATCAGTCTGTGGCCAAGATAAGAATGGAAGATTATTAATTTGATCTAAACTGTAACTTCTCTGTTACTGTACTGTTACTAAACGGCTGAACACAGATTCATTTTTATTCGTTACTTGCTATCACTGTTATATGTGTTTAAAAAATCTTTTGAACCTATCATGTGGGCTATCGTTTCTTTTTTTAAATATGTATACGACTCCTATATTTAATGGTGAATATCTTACTAATTCTATACTTTATTTTTCTACATTGTTGCTGAATTGAGCAAACCTTTTTAATGAAGAAATCCACTAACTTAAAAAGAACTCTTTCCTAAAAGGCCGGCAACGCGTTTGTGACTCCTGAGTTGCAGAAGTTCATGGGCGGCGATAGTCACTTTCCATCAAGTGAACCGTCTATCCCCTCTAACATAAAAAAAAACATTCACTCAGTTATATAGTGATCGCTTTGAAAACGTTCAATTATAGATATCAAACGACTTTAGAAGAGTCGGTCAACACCAGCGGTGACTTTAGAATACTGTGTTGATTTTACGACACACTATATATTATTTAATAGGCATTAAATACGTCCACTGAATCATGGATAAACTGAAAAGCAATATTACTAGTTGTGACACAAATGTAGATCAGACTTATGTTATTCAAACGTATGTTCATGTATGTAGGGTTCGTTAATCGCCACGTCTGGCCAGAGGCGATCGAGCGTATGTTCTAGAGACGTTATCATAGAGTGGATATGATTCATTCGGTTTTATTTCAAGTCATCATCATCATCATCAACAGCCTATAACAGTCCACTGCTGGACATAGGCCTCTCCTTTGAAAGGAGGTTTTGGCCTACGATACCACACGACGTGACGTACGTACGTTTGTTGACGTGGTATAGTAGGCCAGAACCTTCTTTCTAAGGAGAGGCCTATGTCCAGCAGTGGACTATTAAAGGCTGTTGATGTGATGTGATGTGATACCACGCTGGCCATACGGGTTGGTATAGGGTTTGTGTCAAGTTTTCCTTCGAGAGAAGGAAAACTTGACACAAACCCTGCACTGACTGCAGAGATGCCTGACTGCAGAGATGCAGTGCTGTTGTTCTGTGTAGTTTTTTCCCTTAGTCGGCTCTTACGACACCCACGGCATGAATAGGGGTGGTGACACTCTGTATTCTTAATCCGTCACCACACGGACCCTCTTTTTAACTTAGTGGATTTATTTCAAGTTAACGATAAATTTAAAAATAAACCCTATACCGATCTGTCTGGCTAGTGTGGTAAAGCAGGCCAAAACGTCTTTTCTAAGGAGAGGCCTGTGTCCAGCCCGTGAACAACTAAAGGCTGTTTATGATGATGATAAATTTTTATCAAGCTTTTAAGAATTTCTATCAACGTCAGTCAATATGTAAATTGTGAATATCGCTGTAAAGATTCTGTTGATTACAAATTAGTTTTGTTAATACTATTACGAGAGTTTATTGAAATTAACCCACATTTTCATAAAATGTATCTATCATATATTTTTTAATATACCATGCTCCTTCTAGTGTGTTGACGGATTAAGAATACGGAGCGTCACCGCCCCTGTTCATCCCGTGGGTGTCGTAAGAGTTTACTTCCAGAGCTAACTACGCTGGAAAATAGCACTACAAAGAGCAAGAAAACTTGAAACAAACCCTATACCAACCCGTCTGGCCAGCGTGTTATAGGCCCATGTCGATCAGTAGACTATTAACGGCTGTGGGTTATGATGATGACGACGATGCTCCTTTTATATATTATTAAACATTATTAAGAAATCATTAAACCTTAAGTAGACTAGTCAAACAACAATCAATTAATTAATCAGTTTATGGCAGTCCACTGCTGGACTTTCTTCAGAACGTCCATCAGCTACTGAATCTACGACTAATGTAAAATTATAAAAATGAAAGCAACTTTATTTACTTGTTAAGGCTTCACGCCCTAACTACTTATCCTGAAGTACATTTTTAATTGTGATGTAATTTTTTATTTTTTTATTTTTGGTATAAGGGGGCAAACGAGCAGACCGGTCACCTGATGGTAAGCAACTACCGCCGCCTATGGACACCTGCAACTCAAAAGTCACAGGTGCGTTGCTGCTCTTGGAGTCCCTGAAATGTTTGAAGGTAATCAATATTTCGTAGTCCGTTTCATTAGTTTCGTAGGTCCGTGTGGTGACTGACGGATTAAGAATACAGTGTGTCACCACCCCTATTCATCCCGTGGGTGTCGTAAGTGCCGACTAAGGGAAAAAACTACGCAGAACAACAGCACTGCAGAGAGAAGGAAAACTTGACACAAACCCTTTTTTTTTTTTTTTTTTTTTTTTTTTTACGTGTGGAAATCCCCTCGGACCGTCACCCCTCCGGGGTTTGCGGCGGGGTGGTGTGTCGGACTCGGACCGACTAAAACCACACGGTGTGCCACTCTGCGCCTGTAACAGGAGGGATCCGGGAACAGCTGTTGTTAAGACATCCGGACCCCTCCTAGCGCCAGCCCGCTCCTGGTGCGGGCTCCGTCTCAATGTGGATGTTCCTCTCTTTAGGCGACGTCCGGCACACGCGGACGCCGCCCCCTCGCGGCTGGCCAACTAATGCGGGTGGAGGGGAAACCCACCCCGTCCACCCGCGGCCACACTCAGGGCGGCATGAGGCTGTGGTAGGCGGGCCTCCGCCGCCCGGTTCGCCGGCGGCGGATCGGGTCCGAGTGGAGGTCGTCCTTCCGGGCCCTTTCCGCCGCCTCCTTCCGCGAGATTACTACCTCGCAGAAGGTTGCGACCGCGGTAAAACAACTGTCGCTACCGGCCATGGAGCGTACTATGGCCGGTAGCGAGAGATCCACTCCGATGACTGCAGTGAGGGCCCGGCGCTGCGCCGCCCATGCGGGGCAGACCGCCAGCGTGTGCTGGGCCGAGTCCTCACTGCAGTCGCAGTGGTGGCAGGCGGGACTCAGTTCCCTCCTAGCGACCGTGTGCAGGTACTTTCCGAAGCAACCATGCCCGGAAAGCACCTGCGTCAGCCGGAAGGAAAGGGTCCCGTGCTGCCGCCCTGCCCACTCGGCGATGACCGGCTGGAGAGCCTCCACGGCGGCGAAGCCAGCGCGTGGAGTCTCCAGCCGGAACGACCAACGAGCCATCGTGGCTCGGCGAGCGGCTTCGCGCCACTCGCGCACATCCTCGGGCGTAGGGCGAAATCCGCTCTCCGCCCGGTAGTCAGCCACTCGCCGATAAACTTCGGCGAGCACTTCCGCCTCCAAATCCCACGGGGGAGTTCCGGCCAACGCGCACGCCACCTCCGTCGAAACGGTGCGGTAACCGCGTATGGCTCTGACCGCCATTACCCTCTAAGGGCGCCAGAGGCGTACCCTATTCTGGGCGGTCAGAGCCGCCGCCCACACCGGTGCACCGTACAGTGCCATTGACCGGACAACCCCCGTGTACAGCCGTCTTGTCGCGACGCTGGGTCCACCCATATTGGGCAAAAGTCGCCCTAGGGCAGACGCAGCGCCGACCAGCTTTGGAGCAAGCTGTCGGAAGTGCTCGTCGAAGAGCCACCTCCCGTCGAGGATCAGGCCCAGATATTTCATCTGGGCCCGAACCGGTACGAGGACCGAGTTGACCACGATGGAGGCGCCAGGGGGTGGACCACGACGGGGCCCATGAAATAACAGGGCCTCCGTCTTATCTAGGGCCACCCGTAAGCCCAGCGCCTCAATGCGCCCGACCACCAGGGAGACTCCCCCTGTGGCCAGGCGCGCCGCCTCTTGGAAGTTTGCCCCCCGGGCTGTCACCAAGGTATCGTCTGCGTAACAGATTACACCCAGCCCGGGGGGGAAATCGGCGCGAAGGGCCCAGTCGTACCCTATGTTCCACAAGAGGGGTCCAAGAACAGACCCCTGTGGAACACCGCACGACATGGGCCGACACCTCAAATTACCTTCTCGGTCCTCGTACACGACGGTACGCTCCTCTAAATAGTCTGCCACTAGCCGCCTCAGGTACTTTGGCACCCCATGATAGTGGAGTGCTTCCCTGATGCAGCTGAATGGCAGACTATTGAATGCGTTGGCGATGTCCAGTGACACCGCCAACAGCACGCCGCCACAGCTCACGGCCTCTTCGGTCACGGCCCTCAGGCGCAACACGGCGTCGACCGTCGAACGCCCCGCCCGAAAACCAAATTGGGCGTCCGACAGATCGGGGCCCACCTCGCAGAGGTGCCGGACGATGCGGGCAGAAAGAACCCTCTCAAACAATTTGCCCGCCTCGCCCAGCAGCACGATGGGCCTATAGGCCGCGACCGAATCGGCAGGCCGTCCCGGCTTCCTCAATAGGACCAGCTTCACACAAACCCTATACCAACCCGTCTGGCCAGCGTGGTATAGTAGGCCAAAACCTCCTTTCTAAGGAGAGGCTTATGTCCAGCAGTGGACTATTAAAGGCTGTGTGTAATCAATATTTTGTAGTTATATCCACACAATACCAACGCGCGACGTGCTCCCGCGTATACATTGAGTCTAAGTCGGCTATTTGCGCGTCACACGCATGCCCCAATTAAGCACATCTGTGGTGTCGCAAACATACACATATACAGCTTGTTTCTATATGTGGCCACTAATGGTGAAAGAAATGAGGGAGACACGTGTAGAACAGTGTGGTGTGATGTCATGGGAATAGCAGTAGCAGTTTTCTTTACATCGTTATCATGTGCTACGAATAAATTCAAAAGATTTCTGCGAGTAAGGAATAAAATTAAAACTTACTTTAAATACGGACTGTTTATTTTTAATAACTATAAAATAACAAACTTTACAGTCGTAATACTCGTATAATTTAAGCAAATATATAATTTACGCACGATTTTTTTACATTCTAAGGCACTTATTAGTCATAAATAAAAATTGGACAAATCTCATCAAATGGGAAAACAGTAAACAAATAACCTTTATAACAGTTAGTCTTGATATCTTAAGCAGGTTTTAATTTTTGAAGGGGCAATTGGAATGGGCATCGTACAATGATAGGGGATACCCGTCTGGTCCTGTAAAAGAAGATTAAACAAATAGCATACTTCTTATTTATTTACTACTACTACTATCATTTTAAAGCAGGTCTCAAGAAGAAGTTAAATTGAAGTAAGGAAAACGGTTAGAGCGTGGGGGCATTTTTTTATGGCATAGGGGGCAAACGAGAAGACGAGTCATCTGATGGTAAGTCACAGCCGCCACCCATGGACACCCACATCCCCTCCCCCCCTCAGAGGATCAGGGGAAGAAGAGGTTTGAACTTCCAAGTAACCTCACTCACTAGGTGAGAAGCAACCGAAGAACTGCTTGACACCAGTTTTCTGTGAGGCCATAATAATACTGCGTTCGAATCAACCTATTTATGATGAAGAGCTTCCCACGGTATTATAATAAATTTGCTGCTAGCTACAGATCTCCAGTGAGATACAGGATACGTCACTCATGTCACGTATCTCCATCCTGCGAATAAGACTAGGTGACCTAGGTACCATGTTCAACACCAGTCTATTTGGATTTCTAATAACATTTCACCCTTACTGGGAATAAATCCTGTGTCACGGGGAACTTTACAAACATACACGAAACGGACACAAAGAACACCCAGACTCAGAACAACAATTTGTGGATCACACAAAGTGTCGTCCCATGCGGGGATCGAACCCACAACACTCAGCGTAGTCGTAAGAGACGTGGCGAACGCTTAAACCACTACGCCATCCATGCAGTAATGTTGTTCCCTTTGGTAACATCCTTCCGTTGCTTTAATGTTTGAGGGTGCTGTTTTATAAATTTGCATACCTCGAGGATTTACAAGCACTGTAACGTAAGGATCTTTAGGTTTTTTTAAATATGGCCTAATATACGAGTAGACCTACTGCACCGTTATTGTGCTATAAAAGCCTTATCTACATCTGCACCGTTACCCCATTCCAACAACCCATACCTTAACACAGATTCGACATATGCAAAGTACGCTGTACAAGCTGTAATTTGGTACGAGACATTTGCCAGTTCGTACAGCGTGAGAACAAAATGTTTTGTTTGCGTTGCGATTGGTCACACTAGGCCCACTGAACTAGCTATTAGGACAGGGACATACACTAGTCAACAAGGTAAAAGAAAAAACGCTAAAACAATCACACAATAATTTTAATTTCTATATACAATTATATAATATATAAAGAAAAACGTCGAGAGAATACAAAATATAGCTAAGCCACCAAACGTGATTGCACGAAAGTTTCTACCGAGACAGGAGTCCATTCCGTATACTGGACCTCGAATGTGGAACGCATTTTTATGTTGAGGATCGTTCGGCGGCCTTTGGATGGGTTTATTACTGTATTGATTCATTTGCAGCATCTGTTTATAATCTATAAAAAACATTTAAGTAAATTACTAAGTAGTAAACAATACTGTAGAAAGAGAAATTTTATACACAGATTGTAAAATCCACAGCTTTTTATACTACTAACTAAGCAGAATCTTAAATGTTAATCTTGGCATATTTTCTATTTTTAGAGATAATTATAATCCTGTTAAGTTGAGAAATTTAGTGAATAGGCTGAGACTAAAATCTGAATTATGGGCGAAACTAAACAGATGCCTAAGTACCTTAATATTTGAAGACTGTTTATGTTCATCAATAGTACTATGAAGAGATACGCACTTGGATTCAAAAGGAACTGCAATTCCAAAATCATGTGAAACCTTAATTTATCACACTCACTATATGTACTTTAAAACTGCGAGTTGTTACTCGGTATTTATTAATAAACAGGATTATACTAAATTTTCGTCACATTTTTTGAAATAAAGTTATCGATTTCTTTCAGCACTGATAGCTATTTTATTCTGTATGTTATATCTTGTTTTTTTGCTACTGCTAAAAAATCAATGGTCATCAATATTGCTTTATTGTTGATCAGAGGAATGTTGACAGTTCTGGAATGACTATAGATAATACAATAGAGAATATTTTTTTTAAACTGCGTCTAATGAACTAATAACCATAGACTGACAAAACCACAGACTGAAAAAAAAAACAGTGTACAAACTTTTTTATGAGAACTATCTCATCATCATCATCATCATCAACAGCCTTTAACAGTCCACTGCTGGACATAGGCCTCTCCTTAGAAAGGAGGTTTTGGCCTACTAGAGAACTGGAGAACTATCTGCCCCAACGGAATTCGTTTTGTCAAAAGTTAATATAAATATGAACCAGCAAAAGTGTCTGTCGCAGTCCAATAGAAATAAATTAATAACACTTATTTATTTGAGTGTTCACTTTTCTATGTTTGACAACATTTTTTTGGCAGCTAGGTTCAGTTGTATATCAGAACCTTCCTAGTGTATTCCTAAAAAAAAATATAATAATACTACATTGCTCCGTAAATGGTATGTTTTTATCATGTTATAAATAATTAAATATTATCTGTTTTAACTGCAAAAGTATTAAGTAAACACAACAACAATGTAATTAAAAAATTCTGGTTCAAATTGATCACAGGTCGGCAACGAGATGGTCATATGTCATGCTTTCTGGACAATTCCTTTTAACAACAAATGTGTTGAATGCAGGAGCTTTCACCAGTAGCGGACGTAACGAACATTGGTGGTCATATCACAACCCACATGTCGTTAGACAAGATCTTGACTACATTTTAAATCTAGATATCTAGAAGACTACATTTTGAACATTCATTAAACTACATGTAAAACAATACAAAAACAAAAGTAGTAGGTTAAACTCTAATTGCTTTTTTTATTAATTATTGTACATATCACTAAAGATTTACGTATTTTTAGTTATTTCAAACGTGCCCTTTAATTAAGTGAAGTTTTAGTATTTGGATGTTATATTAGGTACTTTATTTATCAATGAAATGTAGTGAAGTTCGCGATACCGATGGGGACGTCATCATCAACACTTGCGCGCCTACCGATTGCAGTATGTCTACAATTTTATAGTTCTTGAGACAACTTTGTAATGTCTTAAATGTAAATTACTCGAGATTATATACTACTACTACTACTAGATTATATACTTTTTATTAGTATTATATATATTAGTATATTTATGAGAAACCCGCATCTTAGATTAGTATTATATACTTTTTATTAGGGTTTTTCAGCAATTTTTCTAAAGATTCTTCTGTGTTTATATGGAAGGCAAATTTTAAAGTCATCTGTATTGTCTAGTATTCCTATCATCTTTTTGAAAACATTCAACGATTAACAAAAGTACTAGGTAGGAAGGCTTTAAATATAGTTCTTTTTAAGGCCACCTAAGCCCGAAAGTTACTCAATCGCATTTTTAAAATGGAGTCGTAGGGTTTTCAGAATCGTGATCGCTTTTTGGTTGGGTAGATGGTTATAATTCTCTCTATGTTATGATTCAGTCTATAGAGGATCTTTATAAAAATACCAAATCTCGTCGAAAGGAAGAAAGAGCGAAGAAAACAGCTAAGAAAAGGTAGTGCAGAGCGCAGTGGCCACAGTGAATGTAAAAAACAAACTAGAATGTAATGCAGTCTGTTTTGGACGCCTATTGTCTTTCTGACTTATGAGAACACGAAATATACAAAACGTCACTTATAATAGAGTATGAACAAGTTAAAATAAAGTTTTTAATTTTAAAGATTATCAATACATCACACTATTAAATTGATCCTGTATTAGTAAACGACTGTTAAAACACACAAAAAGTTCTACTCATGGTGGTAATTCTATTATAAAGTCTTTATGTTCTTAACGTAAAAAACAAGGCGCAACTACCTCTTATAAGTAATGACCACCCATTATCCAGGAAATTGAGTTAGCAGAGACGACATTAACATAAAATTTAATCTAAATCGGTCGATCAATTGCTAGGTTGCTATGTACATACGGACATTTAGATGAGCTGTAAGATATACGCGATTAACGCACTCGACCTCGTTCTATGAAAGACGCTATTCATCGCACATTAATATGTAGATTTATAGTTGTATGGTCCTAGACGTGCGGCTCGACTTGTATAGAAGGCATTTGGAGACAGCGTTGTCAAAGCAAATATGGATATAATTTGGGTCAAAATAAGTCAGCAAAAAATATCACTTAATCGTTATTTTAATTACAATTTCTATTTGTATTATTTAGTCTTCGTGAAAGTGGCAAAAGTAATGTTGAAAGATTCATAACTAAATTTTTTTAACATGCAAGTATAAGATATATAATTAGAAGATTAAACATTCTGAAGTGGTAAAAAGTTAGCCATTTAATATCGTTTTAGTCAGTCATTTGATGACCGGATGGCGTAGTGGTTTGTGTAACAGACTGCTATTCCAAAGGTCGCGGGTTCAATATTCGCTCAAGTCAAACATTTGTGTGCATGAACATGTAATGTTTGATTTAGTCTGGGTGTTTCTATGTATAATATGTATGTATTTACCAAAAAAAAAGTATATATGTATTTATATCAGTTGTCTAGTAGCCATAGTACAAGTTTGGTTTAGTTTGGGACTAGATGGCGTTGTGTGAATGTGGTACAATATTATTATTATATTATTTTGAGCATATAAGCACTAAAGTGGAGACCGCAATTCAAGTTAACGTGACGTAGGACATGCGTGAGGAGTACCAAGTGCAATGGCGCAAATATAGCTATAATTTATATAAACTGGACCGGCTGATTGAAAATTATGATTGGTTGTCTAATTAATTCATCATCAATCATCAACAGCCTTTAATAGTTCACTGCTGGACATAGACCTCTCCTTGGAAAGGAGGTTTTGGCCTACTATACCACGCTGGCCAGACGGGTTGGTATAGGGTTTGTGTCAAGTTTTCCTTCTTTTTGCAGTGTTGGTGTCCCGCCCTTAGTCGGCTCTTACGACACCCACGGGATGAATTGGGGTAGTGACATTCCGTATTCTTAATCCGTCACTACACTGACTAATTCATTGATCGACAAAATCTCTGTCTAATCCCTGAAAGTCGATTCTCGTAATGAAAAATTGGTCAAAATTCAGTTCCAACCTACACTCGATCTCACAATTGTTATAAAAAGCATTATCTCGTGTCGTCACCTCCCCGGGGCTTGTGATGCACTGGTGTCGAAATCTAACCGACTAAAGACACACGGTGTGCATCTCTGCGCCTGAATTAGGAGGGATTGGGGAACAGCTCTTAGTAAAATCTTCAGACCCCCCTTCTAGACCTAAACTAAGCATATCTTGTCTAAGAGTTTTAAACCATGTAGGTATTTTTTTTTTGTAAGTGTACCGATACATATCGCATCTACATAAAAATACCACCCGGATCAAGTATACAAATATTTACAGATCACAGGGCAACAGGGCAACGAATCTTTTACCTGTGCAATGTCACAATTTGAGCACTTTTGAGCAAAAAGGAATTGCTTAAAATTGGTTTACTGTGAGGCCATGGTATCACTCCGGCCAAGCCAGCTAATTTGTGCGGTTCCCCCACTGTAAAATCTATAATCTTGCAATCAAACTTCCTTCGACACTACATTAACAACAATAATACTATCCCGTACGATAATCGTAATCAAAGTTGGCATTACATTCATGATTCAATTGCAACACGAACTGTTCGCATATCGGCCCGGCAAACATCCACCCGCTGTTCGGCGAAATAGTTAAACAACTTAGATGTACTAGCGGCTGGTTTCAGCGTACACTCGAGGACGGAGAAAATAGGCGAACCATATATCATACAGGCTATAAACGTCTAAGGATAAATGTCGCAGGCTCCAGTGCAGGCATGGCCTATTCAACGGTATAATGTAGCTTGAATATCTCAGAATTTACCTGAACTTAGAGCACTTCAGCATTATAAATCTATTATAATATCGTTCAAAACTTAAAGAGAGTGTGGTTTATTTAGAAACCGAAGTCCGATATTAGCGTTAATACAAGTCTTTCATAGTAAAGGTAAGATAGAATAAATTTATTTGTTAGAACATAGTACATTAGGTGTTATTATATTGATTAGTTTTATACATTCTACGATTTCTGGTGTACAAATGTTTTTATTTGGGTGCTTACTTAAAATACAAAAAGAAATGAGTTAAATGAAATCAAAAGCAATACAATAATTAAAATTTTGAGAGGAATAGAATACAATAAATTAATTAATCTACATGAAAAATATTATAATTAATTGACATCCACAACATAAACATTTTCAGTCATTAAATCGTATCGATAATAACATTGATGAATAAGTAATAACATAATTAAAAATTAAAATTAAATTAAATTAAATTATGCTTATGATTAGGGCTCTGAGTATGGTCACTACTGGCCATATAACTTACCTAACGACTTTAAAAAGTTAAGTATTTCTATACAAAAAAGCAGGCACTTATACGTAATGTATGTATGTGTGTAGAACTAGATGCTTTCATTGCGTCACTTGTATTAAAACTCATTTACGTGTGCGCTGATTTCACGAATGTTTAAATACGAGGCTTAGCAATATATCGGTACTTTAAGGATTGAAAGGTGTATGCATGAAATTACATGTGCCGTACGGCTTTTGAAATCCATGGTATTGATACGATACTAAGTACTTGTAAAGTGGAAAATTCTAATATTTATTTCAGTTGAAGATGTCGTCAAATAAAAATCATTTGCTAATAATGAGCATTTTACGACGCTTAAGTTTTTCCTTATAATATATTAATAAAAGT